CCAAATATCCTTCCTTTAATGTTCTTTAATTAATGCTTACATTATGGATGATTTTTTTTAGGGAAAATATGAAAAGTGCTTTGGTAAATCTCATATAATTTTTGAATGAAGCAAAGGATTTTTTAAAGTGTAGTCATCATCTTAGGTGACAAAGAGCCTTTCTTCCACTATAGACATTTTCTTACATTACCTTCTAGCCCTTTTTTTCTAATCAGATTTTTGTGTTCTTTCACATATTCTCAATAAAAGTGTATTACAGTTGACTATCCTACTTTTTACCATTTCCGTATAAAGACTTTCAAGTGTTTATGTGTAAAACAACATGAAAATATTTTGTTGCATAAAGTTTTTATCATATTTTGCATTATATTCTTAAGATGGATTCCTGGAAGTGGAAATTTTGGCTTATATAGCCAAAGAGCTTTCAAAATCAGTGCTCCACAATTAAGAAGAAACTTATAGCTTTATAATAACAAGAAGCAAAACAATACACCGCTTAGAAGTCTAAGGGAATGGGGAACCATGGACAGCAACAGCTAAGAAGAGCCCTCCTGGGGTCAGAGCAAACCTCAAAGACTTGTCTCAAAAATAAATGAATTCAGTAAAGTGGCAGGTAACAAAATCAATACACAAAAATTAATAGCCTTCCTATACACCAATAATGAAATAGCTGAAGAAGAAATCAAAAAAGTGATCCCATTCACAGTTGCTGCCACTAAGGAGGAAATACCTAGGAGTATATTTTACCAAGGAGGTGAAAAATCTCTACAATGAACACTATAAAACATTGGTGAAAGAAATTGAAGAGGATGCAAATAAATAGAAAGATATCCCACGTTCATGGATTGGAAGAATTAACATCATCAAAACGTCCATATATTACCCAAAGCTATAAGTAAAGAGGTTGAAATAGTATTTTTTAAACTTCCATAAAGCAAAATTGAGGCCCAGATGGCTTTAGTCGTGAGTTCTTCCAAATGCTTGAAGACGTATTGATACAAAATTTTTACATACTCTTTCAAAAATAGAAGAGGAGAGAACACTTCCCAGTGCATTCTATGAAGCCAGTATTACCCTGATGCCAAAACCAGACAAAGACATCACAAGAAAATAAAGCTGCAGACCAATTTCCCTTATGAATATAGATGAAAAGGTCTCAATAAAATACTAAAACTGAATAACAACACATAAAATGAATTTTACTTCATGATCAAATGGGGTTTAGCTCATGAATGCAGGGTGAGTGTAATATCTGAAAATCAATTAATGTCATATATCATATGAATATAATCAAGAACAAAACCCAAATGATCATCTTAGTAGATGCAGAAAAAGCATTTGACAAAACCCAACACCCTTGCTTGAAAAAAAAAGTCTATAAACTAGAGACCTAAATAAATAAAAATGAAGACCTAAATGGAAAGACATCTTATGTTCATAGATTAGTATATTTAACATTGTTGAGATGGTAGTACTCTCCAGATTGCTCTACAAATTTAACACAATGCATATCAGAATCCCAGATTTCTGGGATTTTGTAGAAACTGTCAAGCTGATCTAAAATTGCTGTGAAAGTACAAGTGACCCAAATAACCAAAACAACCTTGAAAAAGAAGAACAAAGATGGGGGACTCATACTTCTTCATTTAAAATCTGGCTACAAAATTATTGTACTCAAGATAGTGTAGTACCAGCATAAGGAATGACATAGAGGTCAGTGGAACAGAATTGAGAGTCCAGAAATAGTTATTACATTTGTGGCCAAATGATTTTCAAAAAACTGGTGCCAAGATGATTCAATGAGGAAAGATTAGTATTTTCAACAAGTGGTGCTAGGACAACTGAACATCTTACATGGAAAAGAATAAAGTTGGATCCCTACCTCACACCATACATAGAAATGAAAATGAATCAGAAGCCTGTATGTAAGAGCTAAAACTATAAAACTCTTGAGAAGAAAACAAAGAAGTAAATCTTTATGAGTTTGGGCTAGGCAGTACATTCTGAAATACACATCAAAAATGCAAGCAAAAAAAAAAAGAAAAAGAAAAATAGATTAAATGGATTTAATCAAAATAAAAAAAAACTTTTGTGCTGCAAATTATATCATCAAGATAGTGAACAGACAATGCACAATGCACAGAATGGGAGAAAACATTTGAAAATCATATATCTGATAAGAGATTAATATCCAAAAAATATAAAGAAATTTTACAACTTAATAATAACCTGCTGTCGTTTGGATGTGCTTTTTCCACACTAAAACTCATGTTGAAATTTATTTTTATTTATTTATTTATTTTTTGTCCTTTTTGAGACTGGCTGCACCGCGCTCAGCCAGTGAGCGCACCAGTCATCCCTATATAGGATCCGAACCTGCGGCGGGAGCGCTGCTGCGATCCCAGTGCCGTACTCTCCCGAGTGCGCCACAGGTTCAGCCCGAGATTTAATTGCCAATGTAATGATTTTGGGAGATGGGGCCTTTAAGAGGGGATTAAGTCATCAAGATGGATTAATGTCTTTCTTGAGAGACTGAGTTAATTACTACAAGACTAGATTAGTTCTTATGGAAATGGATTCGTTCTCGGGGGAGCTGGGTTGTTATAAATCGGGTCAGATTCTTCGGCCCCCTCTCTCTTTTCACATGCACTTGCTTGTCCTTCCACTTTTCCACCATGTTATGAGGCAGCATGAGGCCCTTGCCACATGTGCCACCTGATCTTGAACTTCTCATCCTCCAGAACCATGAGCTAAATAAACCTCTTTTCTTTATAAATTACCCAGTCTCAGGTATTCTATTATAGCAATAGAAAACAGACCAAGACATAACTCAGCTAAAAAAATGGGCAAAGGATATCAATAAACATTTTTCTATAGAAGATACATAAATGGCCAACAAGCACATGAAAAGTTGCTCAGCATCATTACAATCAGAGAAATGTAAATCAAAACCATCCGTTTTACAACCACTAGGATGGCTATAATCAAAAAGATGATAAAAAGTACTGACAAAGATAGGGAGAAAAGTGGAACCATTAGCCATTGCTGGTGAGAATGTAAGATAGTGAGGCCACTTTGGAAAACATTTTGGCAGTTCCTCAAAATGTTAAAAATAGGATTACCAGACAGCCTAAAATGTCCACTCTTATCTATCCAAGAGGAATGAAAACTATGCCCACACAAAAACTTGTACACAAATGTTCATGGCAGCATTATTTTAATAGCCCCAAAGTGTAATTACTCAAATGTTCCTAACTCATGAATGGATATCTGTGGTACATCTGTGCAATGGAATATTATTAGGCAATAAAAGTAATGAAGTACTGATACCCACTAAAACATTGATGCTTTGAAAACATTCTGCTAGGTGAAGGAAGCCAGTCACAAAAGCACACACATCGTATGATTCCATTTATATGAAACATGCAGAATAAGGCAAGTCATAGGGCAGAAAGTAAATTAGGGATTGCCTAGGGCCATGGAGGGCAGACGGGGTAACTGCTAACAGATACTGAATTTCTTTTGGGGATGGTGAAAAAGTTCTAACATTAGATGTGGTAATGATTGCACTACTCTGTTAATATGTTAAAAACCATTGAATTGTGTACTTTAAATGGATGAGTTGTATGGTATGTGAATTATATTCCAGTGAAGCTGTTACCAAAAAAGTGATGCTTCATTTTCTACTCCTGCCAACAAAGTGTGTGAGATTGCCATTACCCGTTTTAATGTTCATCAACACAAACTAACAAATTTACCAGTTTGGCAGACATGAACAGCATCTTTGATAGACTCTTTTCGGCTCAACCAAAAGAGATTTTACTCTCCAGTGGACATTTAGCAATGTCTAGACACATATTTGATTGTCATGACTGGGGTGGGGAATGCTAGTGGCATTTAGTGGGTAGAGGCCAGTATGCTAAACATCCCATAATACATAGGGCAGCCCCCCACATCAAATAATTATTCCACTCAAAAGGTCAATAGTGTCAAGGTAAGAAACCCTAGACTAAAAATAGCAACTTATTTTAATTTATATTTCTTTCATTACTTAGTAACTGTAAATTTTTCCATATATTTACTATTTAGTTGTATTTCTTCTTTTATAAATTTTCTGATCATATCATTAGTGTATATTTCTCATCAATTTATATGAGTTCTATACATTAGTAAAGACGCACTATTATGTATTTTATTTACTCAGTTTCTTCCAGTTGTTTCCTTTCAAATTTGGTTGTTTATATTGACTATCAAAATGTTAATTTTTGGTGTAGTCAAACTTATTTTTATGTTATGTCTAACTCTAAGCTCTTTCTCTACCTACCTACGTACCTTACCCAATAATTTAATTTTTATTTATTTCTCTCCTGGAATTTTAAGCTTATCTTTTCACATTTAACTTCTTAAATGCATATAGAATTTATTATAATGTGCATTATGAGATAAGAAAAAAATTTTTTCTAAATAGTAATGACTGGTCTTCCTCTATCTGTAGAAACATTTGGCTTACTAGGCATATTTTAGGTTCAAGATAACCTTCAAAAAGGAAGCTTTCTACAGGTTTATGCAAGAGAGGGAATGTGCAGTTACTCCTCATATTCCTCAACTAAGGCATACAGTAGCATTCCACAAGGTAGTCAGGTGTTTGTGACTCTCCTAACTCAGGACAAAGCAGTAGTCACAGATACCACCACGTCAGTCTTGCAGAAATGTATAGAGAATATGAAAGTTGGAAATGGAAATTGGTTGTGGTTTGGGATTAATAAACCTTTACTTAAATTAATGAATTTTCTGATAGGATCCAGGAGATGAAGAAAGTGATACTATATGTGTATTTTTGGTGTGTATATTTGGTAAGAAGGAGGGCACACTTTTAAATCAAGAAATTAAAAGTGGTTGTCAGTTCATAACATACTACCAAATTTTTAAGACTTCCTGATAATTTATCAGTTAAGTGAATGAATGGGAATAAATATAGATATCTTCCTATTATTGTACAGATGGAAAATGAGTTAGATTCTGCTCATTCTGAAATAGAACTCCTCAGGAGTCAGATGACAAATGAAAGAATCTCCATGCAAAATCTAGAAGCTTTGCTGGTGGCCAATCGAGACAAAGAATATCAATCTCAGATAGCACTTCAAGAAAAAGAATCTGAAATTCAGCTTCTTAAAGAACACCTTTGTTTGGCAGAAAATAAAATGTGAGTTGGTTAGTAATATAACAACAAAGCCGTTATTTCTTAAATTTGGGGTACTTTATAGATTAATAGAATTTTAAAGCTAGAATTTAGAGAATTTAGCTCTCATAATTTGCCATGAATTAAACTGAGGATCAGAAATATTGTAATTAGCCTAAGACTTAGTACTTATTTATATTATGGGGTCTTTTTTTCATCTAAATTTAAGTCTAACCATCTCTGTTGATTGTTTCCAACAGAATTTTGGATATAATAGACTGTCTGATGTAAAATTTTGCCTGAAGGAAATATAACCAGATTAGAAAAAAATTAAGCATTCTGAAACCAAAATTTTTATATGTATGGACCGTCCTGGTATTGCTACCTAGTCTTTCCATTTGTCATGTAGTATTTCCTTATGTACTGGGTACCTGAAAGAACTCCTGCATTAACAAAGTAATGAAGACTTCCCCAGAGCACTGATTTTGGCTTTTTTTATTTTTTATTTTTTAAGAATTCCTAGCTATCACCAGCACCTTATTAGAAGACCCTTGACCGTAGTTGACTGGAGGGTTGGGTGAAAATGCCTGCCTGGATAGTGAATGTTTTATTAAGCTTGGTTACCTCTCACAAAAATTGATGGGCAACCCTAGCCCCTGTTCTTATCTGTCTCAACTATCACACTTTTTCATCCAGCCACCACTCTGTCCTCACATCTAAGCCTGGGGCCTGGGGAAGGATAAGAATCATAATCTCAGCAATCAGCCACTCCAGGAGTCCCTGGCTAGGCAAAGGCTGCAGAGGCAGAGCCAGTTACCTTCATAACCTGCTTTCAGGTCATGGCAGCAGTGACTGAGTCATTCTTTTCAGTTACCATAGCTGGGCTATTGTGGTACCTTCAACTGGTTCTGCAGGATCTACTTTCTAAAGCTGGTAGGTGGAAATCTGCCTTAGTGAAGTATGCCAAAACTCCCACATTAAGGGGTATTCTCTACTTTAGACTGGCTTGTAAGTACTGTCTCTTAGACGTGGTCAACATGAGAAGCTTTTTTGTGTTTTTAGTCTCTAAAATTTTGGTTTCATATAATGCTGTCCTGAAAGCAAGCAAAGAGGATAGAATATTCTGTGCCAGCAGCATTCATCTGTTATTATCTTCTTACGGTAGGATGCCTTATCACAGGGATTTTTAAGGCACTGTTTAGCTTTAAGGAAGATCTTCTTAAATTGAAGAATTTTTATGTTTTTAACAGTGTGTATATCAAATTTCATTATAACTCTATAAGGATACTTCAAAAAGTTCATGGAAAAATGGAATGAAAAGATAATGCAATTCCTTTCATGAACTTTTTGAAGTACCCTCGTACGTAAAACATACTCGATTTATAATCATCGTGCTAGTGAATTCCAGTGTTATTTGATCATACTACTACTTTACATTTATATAATTCTTCAAAGTACTTTTATACAAATGATTTGCAGTAAATAGATAAAATAGAAAAATAATAAACAATATAATCTATTACTTAGGCTTTTCGAGAAGGCTACTTTGTACATTTACTACATCTAAAATTGGCATATTTTAGATATACTAACAAATCTTTCCATAAAAATCTCAATTTGACTTGGATCCTGCTGAGAAACCCTTGCCAATGCACTTGAATATACTCTAGGAATCATAGCCATATATTAAGTTTAATCAGCTATTACTCCTTTTTTACACAGGGCCATCCAGAGTAGAGATGTAGCCCAGTTCAGAAATGTAGTAACGCAATTGGAAGCTGATTTAGATATTACCAAAAGACAACTAGGGACAGAGCGCTTTGAAAGGTAAGTTTATCTCTATGCAATGTTTAGCCTGGAAAGCATTGTTTCTTAAGTAACAATAGGTTTTAGTTATTTCACAATGGTTAGAATTTAAAGTATGAACTGAGCTACAATTTTGACAGTATTAATAAGGTCACTGGATATAAAATTTAAAACCATCACTGTTTTGCTTTAGGGAGAGGGCTGTACAGGAACTTCGTCGCCAGAATTACTCAAGTAATGCTTATCATTTGAGTTCTACAATGAAGCCAAATACAAAATGTCATTCACCCGAACGTGCTCACCATCAATCTCCTGACCGAGGCCTAGATCGATCGTTAGAAGAGTAAGTCAGTTTAAGGATCTGTTCTCTTGGGACCATATAGCAATATATAGTACAATGAATATTTGAGGGAGTAAGGAAACTCAATAAACAGTCTAATATTGTGATATTTAAACATGATTACCAAGATATGATGATGTAAAAATAAAAGATTTTGATAATTAAATCAGTTTTATATAAATATTAACTAAAATTGAAAGATCATTAATATTTTGTCTGTTTGTATAAATTATATTTTCAGAGTCTGATTTTCTTCAACACACATTTTTTATGTACTTTTATTACAAAATGTTGGTTAATCATAGCACCATAAAATACATGAGTATTTCAAAAAGTTCATGGAAAAGTAAAATTAAAAAATAATACAAATCTTTCCATTAGTTTTTTGAAGTACCCTCGTATATATGCTCTAGGAAAGTAATAAGATAATTTTTCAGAGGAAAATATTTTAGATATATTCTTATATGGCACAAATTTCATAAATATATATTTTTTGGAAATAATTTCAACTTTGCAAGCTACAAAGTAAAAATAATACAAAAAATCTGCATACCGTTTACCAATACTCACTATGGTAAAATTTTACCCCGTGTGTGTTGTGTCATGCGTCACACTCTTGCACATGCCCCTCTCTCACTACACACATGCACACATACTCCCTCTCACACACACACTTAGACAGACACATTTAAAAAAAAATAACCAAAACCTCCAATCCCAAACCATCCTCACAGGTTTCTTCCTTCTTTCTTCCTTTCCTTATTTGCATGTTCTTTCTTCTATGTGAGAACCCTGGCTAAACACCAACACATTTATTCAACAACATAGCTGTAGTTTCTTATTTGTTCATTCCCATAGTGCATCTAAAATAGGTTCAAAATTTCCTCACCTATGTCACTTCAATAAATAGAGGACTTTTAAAAAGTTCAGGATCTGTTTGCAATGCTTCCTTCCCATGTACTACCTTGCCCAATTCTTGAGGGCATATAGGCAAATATTGAGTTCATAGATTACTTGGGGTAATTCTTTTATACCCCCCCCTTGTGTATAGTATTCTTTGAAATAACATTAGATTTATTTGTTTCAATTTGCTTTCATTTTCCATTTTCCCCCTTCCTAGTGTTTTCCTTGATTTAGTTTTATTTTTAAATATGTAGATTAGCATGGTTTCAATTAAAAATATAGTATTCTTTGAAATAACATTAGATTTATTTGTTTCAATTTGCTTTCATTTTCCATTTTTCCCCTTCCTAGTGTTTTCCTTGATTTAGTTTTATTTTTAAATATGTAGATTAGCATGGTTTCAATTAAAATTTTTTTTTCTAAATAATAGGCTTTATTTTTATACCAGTTTTAGGTTTACAGAGAAATTGAGCAGAACGTACAGATAGTTCCCTTACCCCCATAACTGCCCCCTCCCAGTTTCTCCTATTATTAACATCTTTTTTTTTTTCCTTTTTGTCTTTTTTCGTGACCGGCAACGGATCACAACCCTCAGTGTCGCGCCCGTACCGGACCGGGACCGGCAACGGGATCGCAACCCTCGGTGTTGCGCCCGCACCTCGCTCAGCCAGTGAACGGCTGGTCTGTATGTGGGATCTGAACCCTCGGCGGGAGCACCACCACGCTCCCAAGCGGCGCACTGTAGCAGTGCACCACTGGGCCGGCCCGTATTATTAACATTGTATATTAATGTGGTACATTTATTACATGTACGAACCAATATTGCTATATTATTATTAATTCAGTTTTACATTAGGGTTCCCTCTTTGTGTTGTATAGTTTTATGGGTTTTTCCAAATGCATGGTGTCATGTATTATCCATCATAGTATCAGACAGAATAGTTTCACTGCCCTAAAAATCCTCTGTGCTCCACTTATTCATCCCTCCATCTCTCTCTCCCCACCGTGAAACCTGGCAAGTCAAAACTCCACAAAAAGTAATACTCAGAGAAGTGCCACTTTCTCTTGAATGCCTTCCATCCCATCAGCCATGCTTTCACCCATTTCCTTTGTGGTTTTATGGTAATGATACGCAGGTATATAGTTTTTNGAGAAATGGTATTTCAGTGTAGTTTTAATTCGCATTTCTCTTGAAGTGAAGTTGAATATCTCCATAGATTTAAAGGTTATTTTTATATCTCTTTTTATGAAATATCTATTGATTTCTTTTGCCTATTTTTCTAATGGATTTTTGGTCTTTTTGTTAAATTTTTAAAAACAAATTTGGGAGACTAGCCCTTTATCACTGATATATGATACAAATATTTTTCACCATTTTTTCATTTGTTTTTTAATTTTGCTTACTGTTTTTTGTATGTAAAAGGTTTTTTTTAATTTTAAGTTTATGTATTAATATTACTATTTTTTTACATTCTAAGATGTTACAGAGCAGTTGGGGGGGGCTAGAGGAAGAGGGAAGGAAATAGGGTGGGAGAAGGAGGAAGGAGGTTCGCGATTGCTGGATCATATGTTAATTCTATTTTTAGACTTTTTGAGGAACTGCCGTACTGTTTTCCACAGCAGCTGCATCATTTTACATTCCCACCAACAATGCACAAGGGTTCAAAAAATGCCTTGCGGATTTTGAAGTAGATTGCTTTGGGCAATAGTCAACATCTTAACAATATTAAGATTTCCAATTCACGAACATGGGATGTCTTTCCATTTATTCATACCTTCTTTAATTTCTTTCAGCAACATTTTGTAGCTTCTAGTGTACCAGTCTTCCAGTCTTTCACCTCCTTGGTTAAGTTTATTCCAAAGTATTTTATTTATTTTGCTCGGTGTTGCGCCCGCACCTCGCTCAGCCAGTGAACGGCTGGTCTGTATGTGGGATCTGAACCCTCGGCGGGAGCACCACCACGCTCCCAAGCGGCGCACTGTAGCAGTGCACCACTGGGCCGGCCCGTATTATTAACATTGTATATTAATGTGGTACATTTATTACATGTACGAACCAATATTGCTATATTATTATTAATTCAGTTTTACATTAGGGTTCCCTCTTTGTGTTGTATAGTTTTATGGGTTTTTCCAAATGCATGGTGTCATGTATTATCCATCATAGTATCAGACAGAATAGTTTCACTGCCCTAAAAATCCTCTGTGCTCCACTTATTCATCCCTCCATCTCTCTCTCCCCACCGTGAAACCTGGCAAGTCAAAACTCCACAAAAAGTAATACTCAGAGAAGTGCCACTTTCTCTTGAATGCCTTCCATCCCATCAGCCATGCTTTCACCCATTTCCTTTGTGGTTTTATGGTAATGATACGCAGGTATATAGTTTTTCCTACTTTTCCTTTGTCATGCAAAAAGTGGCATACTATATGTGTTTCTTTGCTTTTCTCGCTCAATAAGATTTCCTGGAAATCACTCCATATTAATTCATAGAGATTGTCCTTATTCCTTTTTGCAGCTGCATAGTACTCCATTGTGTGGATATACCAAAGTTATTCAACCAGACTCCTAAACTTGGACATTGAGGTAGTTTCCAACAATTTGCAATCACAAACAAGGCCATAGTGAATAATCTTGTGTATATATATTTTCATATCTTTGGAAAAGGATTTTCAGAATAAATTTCTAGAAGTGGGTTTGCTGGGTCAAGGAGTAAATGAATATGTAGTTTTGTTAGATAGTGCCAAATTCCCCTACATTTTGCATTTTTTCCAGAAATATGTGAGAGTGCCTGTTTCCCCACAGCCTCATCAACAGAGTATACTGTTACTCTTTTGAATTTGTGCCAATATCATGTGTGAGAAATGGTATTTCAGTGTAGTTTTAATTCGCATTTCTCTTGAAGTGAAGTTGAATATCTTCATAGATTTAAAGGTTATTTTTATATCTCTTTTTATGAAATATCTATTGATTTCTTTTGCCTATTTTCCTAATGGATTTTTGGTCTTTTTGTTAAATTTTTAAAAACAAATTTGGGAGACTAGCCCTTTATCACTGATATATGATACAAATATTTTTCACCATTTTTTCATTTGTTTTTTAATTTTGCTTGCACTGTTTTTTGTATGTAAAAGGTTTTTTTTAATTTTAAGTTTATGTATTAATATTACTATTTTTTTACATTCTAAGATGTTACAGAGCAGTTGGGGGGGGCTAGAGGAAGAGGGAAGGAAATAGGGCGGGAGAAGGAGGAAGGAGGTGGGCATTGTTGTGGCCAGCGGCACCCCCTCATTCCTGTAGGGGAGACCAGGGGGCTTCCAGTGGTGGCTTGGTCATTGCTAGGCTGGATGCAGATGTCAGGGGTGTGTGGCTGAAGCCCTCAGCCCCCCACCACCTGGGCTTAGGAGCCCGGGGAGCTTCCTGCAGTGGCTTGGTGGTCGTTGCTGGCATCGTAGTGGGTGTTGGGGAAGTG